CGAAATGTTAACTGCTTTACACCAAGTCATTGACAGTCTCACGAAAGAAGACTTTAAAAACTGTTTCGAAGACTGGTTTATTCGAATGCATAAATGCATTGATACTGAAGGACAGTACTTTGAAAAAAAATAAATTAAAATCCTCCTCTGAATATTTATCCCTAAAGGCTAGTGGAAAAAAACTTTTGTAGTACCCCACGTATCTTGATGATGATCAAACTGTGTATGTCGCTGATTGGTCGAATCATCGTATTGTGGAATGGAAATGGGGTGCGACGAGTGGCCAAGTGGTTGCCGATGGAAATGGACAAGGAAGTGGGGCTCATCAGTTGTCTTACCCAGAAGATGTGATTATTGACAAAGAGAGCGATAGTCTCATTATCAGCGATCAATGGAATCAAAGAGTAGTTTGTTGGCCTCGTCGAAATGGCACTCATGGAGAAACAATTATTTCAAATATCGCTTGCTGTGGTTTAACAATGGACGACAATGGTTATCTCTATGTCGTTGATCAACAACAACATGAAGTGAGACGATATAAAATTGGTGATACTCAAGGAACAGTGGTTGCAGATGGCAATTTAGTAGGAGATCGTCTCAATCAACTCTCCGAACCCGGCTACGTATTTGTCGATCGAGAACATTCAGTTTATGTGTCTGATCTTGGAAATCACCGTGTAATGAAATGAGAAGAAGGTGCCAAACAAGGCAATTGTTGTAGCCGGTGGTCAAGGACTAGGAGATAGTCTTAAACAATTGAATTATCCTCAAGGAGTCGTTGTCGATCAATTGGGTACTTTCTATGTGGCTGATTGTTGGAATCATCGAATCATGCGTTGGCTAAAAGGAGCCACACAAGGAAGTGTCATTATTGGTGGAAATGGTCAAGGAGCACAGTCGAGTCAACTCTTTTGTCCCACAGGATTATCATTCGATCGACATGGTAATCACTATGTTGTAGGTTGTCATAATAATCGAGTACAAAAATTTAATATCGAATAAACTAAATTCTTATGATTAATTTTTTTCTTTCGTTCTTTTTTTTCTCTTTCAAATAAATCGTGATTGAATGAAAAATGGATTGCAATCTATTCTATTATCGCACGCGCCTGGGAAGACGCACATCATTCGCATGCACCCATCCGATGACATGCGTCAGTGAGTCTGGGGACCCGATCGTGTGCCACGGACACCAAAGCAGTTCCTGATCGGGGTTTTAGGGACTACCCGGAAGTCCTTCTTATAAAACGACCCTAATCTTAACGGACAGAACTCACCCCCTCTCTCTAACATTCACTCTGCTGAGTCTCATCTATTCTCGTCTGAAGAAAAAAAAAGAAGAAAAAATGACTCACCCGTGGATGTTGGAGTGCGGGTTATGAAATGTGCATGTGGGTGAATTTATATAATGAACACCCACACCCACACCCAAGTACTCAAAAGTTCCTGTGACATACTGGTAGCTGTCTATCCTTGTAGGTATTCTCAACTCAGCACATTTGATAGGAACTAGATCAGATGTTGTTGACATCTTTCGAAGTTTTCTTCATGTCGTAAATCTTCTGGAAATCTATATTCTATAAACAGAGAAGTCTCCATTTACTTTAGGTTTATATCAAACAAAAAATACGTCAGCCATGTTATTTTATACACTCTTCAGCGTATTTATCACTATTTTTAAGCCAATATTTAATTAATAATGGCCCAAATGTATAAATATGATGAAAAAGAATTTCACAATCCCAATACAAAGAAAATTCACAAATAAATTGTTGTGCTTTTCAATAAGATTTGTTCATGAATTAAAAATAACTGTTTGAGTGTACACTTTAAAAAATCATATACACATATTTACTCGGTATGAAGCTGTTCTGACTGATCTACATTTCTAACCTGGTACATGCACTAGAGATTCTATAAATCTAGTCTGAAGAATGATTGACATCCCAAAGCCATATAGGTTTTCTCGTAGTACTAGTTGTGAACAGTACCTATTGAAACTATAGCTAACAAAACCGTATTTGCTAGTCGGACAAATCATTTTGTTATCTTTCATTATGCAAAACCTGATCTGTAATATTTATCTATTCAAAAAAAAATTAGTTAGGTGAGATTGAATAAATACATCTATTTGAATTGTTAGCTATGATATACAATTTATTTATAGCCTGAGAATTCTTACTCTTTACTTGCAGAATTGTCTATATCTGTAATAAATGAATGCTCGCACAAACTGAAAAAAAAGTTTCAATAGCTGACCCAAAACTGAATATATTTTTAGCTTAAGATTGACGAGTCCTTCCTTATGTCGGGTGCTTCAACAACATCAATATTGTTTATTAATTAATTTAAAAAAAACACTCTTTAATGCAGAATTCATGTGAGTTGCTGGAAAATTAGTTATCTGCGATCTAATGAAAAATAAAAATTATGATTTTCAAACTAAAAGAAAAGCAAAAGTTCATAATCAGTTATTTGTTAAACTTTTTCTAATCCTATTGACCACCGATATAATAGATAAGAACCAAGAAATAGAGGAATAATTGCCACAATTTATGGAGCATCGTCATATTTTACTCTTGATTTAGCATGTTCTTCAATATCTGCTATTAATTTCGTTAAATTATGCATTGTTCTTGAAATATTTGTCAGAACATATATTTAAATATGAAAATTATTTTATTTTATTTTTTTCAAGTTAAAAATTATGTTGTTTTTTTTTTACCATGAGCTTCGAGTTATAATTGTAAAACATTTGATGCATGTTTATTACTTGCATTAAATTCAGGTTCAAAAAATGCTACAGGAAAACATGATACCAATCAACTTAGATAATCACCGACTAATAGATGCTGAAGATTTAATTCTTCAATAATCCCATTCTTTTGAAAAACAACACGTGTATCATTTATTATAAATTACAGATTTCAAAAATCGATTCTTTTATCAATCAACGCATTTAGGATTTTCTAACCAGTCAATTGAATTTCATTTTCTATGAGACAAAACATTCGTGAGCTTATTCATTAATGTACACTTTGTATTAACACTGAAATGTAATCAGTCTGTCTATCTATCTCAAGGATAATTGTTGCATATCTATGTATGTTTACACGTGTTGTAAAACACGTTTCTGCTACTGATAAGGTAATCATGCAAAATGAGACATTGTTTTTAAACTTATATTATGATAGTATTGTTAGAGTTTAATCTTTAGAATGAGAATTTAGCAGAGTAACTAAAGAAATGAATTTCAACTTTAAAACTTAGTCTATAAGTAGATCTTATCATTTGAAGAATATCCTAAAATTTTCAAACGAAATGTTTGATGTTCGAAAACCGATTTGATTTTTAGAAACAGTTAGAATAAAACCAAGAGAAACAATGAGATCTAATCTGTGATAGAAGAAAACTTCCTCTTGAACAAAATACCACAGAAAATTGACAATTTTCCATTGCTGTTTATCAGTACTTTATTGAAATCTCTGATAAGATCTCATATTAAAATAAGTAACCATATGCTAGAGAAAATGAACCGATCGTCCCACAATAAATAGTTCGCGCATCACAAAAAGTGATCTTAAAGATTCGCTCGCATTTGAACACAGAAAAACATTATCACACAAAAACTATATCGTAGTTATTCATCTAAATGTACAGGTTGAAAGTCAATGACTATCAAGTTATGAGTTTTTTTTTAATAAGCAAAACAGCGTAAGCCAGCATAAACATTACGGATGTGGGTATGACAGCGAGTGTAGGTGTAGAAAGAACATATCCACACCCACACCCTGTTTTCAGCTCCCAGTAAGAACCAAAACTGTTAAGACACGTTAGTTTTTCAATAATATTCAGTTGAAAATAGTTACTTTCTCGTAGACTTTCGCAATGATATTCCATATTAGAAAATACTAGAGATTTTCGTCTATTTTTCAACACTTTCTTCTCGTATTCTAGTACTTACAATTGACCATAACGAGAAAGTTGTCGGAAAATTATAACAACTTTCGATTCTAATTGTTATTTCAGAAAAACTGTTGAGAATGTTCGAAAATGGTCTTTTTTCTGCTCCTGTTTTTTCCTAACAAGTCTGTTGTATTTATTTTTTTCTTGTAAACTCAATAGTTTAACCTTAGTTTTGAAAAACATATGGGTAAATGTTATATACCATGTAATAATACGAAGATTTTCTCTTTTGAATTCAGTCAAAAAACAAAAGTCAATGAAAACACTTTGTATACTCTATAAAGTATTTTAGCATATTCTATCCTTTGTAAAAATATAGAGTAAAATATTTTCTAGAATTAATACTGTAAGCCATCAGATGAAGTATAAAAGAAATACTCTTGAATCATCTTAACCTTGACTTTTATATGTAAAAATATAATGCCAAATATGTTTCATTCATATTATTTCGATATATGAATGCAACAGTAACGGTAATACGTTACTGTAACTAGCCGATAATCACTGATATTTCTCTGTTTTCTCTCGACTTTCAAAATGAATTTTCGTTGAGCAATCAAATTTCAGAAATCTTTTTATTTTGTCTTTCTTGAGCAAATTAACTTTTAAACTGAAATCTCTTCTCAAAGCATAGTCAATATTTGATTTATTGAAGCAAGTTAGTATTGAAATTTAAATAATTGAAAGACAAATAAACCTCTGTTTACTGATTTATACGAGTTATCAGTAGATCAGCTGTTGGTTTCAATTGGTGAATCATTGAATGAGAAAAACAGTTCAAAAAATTATTTACTTTAAAAAGACCAGTTTCACTTAATTAGGAATCTAATTATGTTCCATTTCAAAACTTATGCATCACTATTTCAAAGAGAAGCAGATTTTAAAAAAAGCTTAGCTATAATTTTTCTCAAATTTGCCTTGTATTAACTGTCTAGTTTTTAAAAGAGTCAGACGACATGTGTTTATATATTGATAAAATATATTCATCGCTTAGTTCAGTGAATGTGCGTAATATTCAAATAAAACTTTTTCTTAAATATACTTTGTCTCTGTCTTTGAAAAGCTATCATTGAGGAAATGACGACTAAAAAATATGTTGTGTATCAGTTATTTCCTTTTGAAAACAACCTAGTAATCAATTACAAAATATAATGAAGTTTTTATTTTTTTTGGCAATGTAACAAAAATGGAAAGTAGAATATCTTGAAAAATAAAAATTTCTTTTTCGATATAGTTTCTATATACTACTTAATCTGACTATTTACCATAAGATTGTTTAAAAGAATAAAACTAAATGAAAATATTCTTTTTGTATTTAAAAGCTTTCTAGAATAGGAAGTGAATTTGATTTCAAATAAACGAAATAATATTAAAGAACTACTTTGAAGATAAAGTTAATAAATATTTGATTGTATCACTGGGTATATCATTTTATGTGTCAAGCTATATTATTTGTTGATTTTTTTCCCTTTTCGTCGTTGACACGTTTCTTCCATTCTTTTCTCCCATTTCTTTGGACATGAGACAAGAAATACATATAAATTTAGTCATAGATGATCACATATTCTATATGAAAATAGATTATCGTAAATAGAAGAACTGAAAGAAGAAATATCTAAATCATTTGTGATAGTCAATAAAAATCTTTAAAATATATTATTTTAGATGATATCATTATTTTCATCTGAATGTTGTGTAAAAAGATATGCAATAGAAGGTTCATTTGTTCCTCTATTAGCTTCTTCTGAATCATTTATAATTAGTTATGATGAACATCCTCGACCTTTAATTCGTTTATTTGATATTAATTGTTGTCAAGTGATGTGTCTTTATCTTCCATCATTATTGTTTGATATGTGTTATTCATATGATCTTGATTCATTTATTTTTCTTACAACAAATTGTCTTTATAAATTAAATCCAACAATAGGAAAAATAGAATTAATAAATGATTATAATTTATTAAAAGAAAATCGTTCAATGTCATCAATATGTTCAACAGATGATCAACGTTTATTTATTTTATATCGTTTTGGTGAATATTTAGATACATATCCAAAAGGAAAACGTATTTGGAAACGACGACATTTATGTGATTCGATTTCTGAAGATATTTATTTAATTCGATCATCAAAAGGTAAAATTCAATTTTTCTTTCACTTATTTATTTATTTTTTTCATAATTATTTGTTAGGTAATTCATTTATTCTCGGTTTACTTATTGTTGAATGGAATGGTATATGGCGTGTTGATATTTTTTCATCATCATTACATAAACTTCATACTGGTTTTCGTTTTAATGGATGGACACGTGATACATGGCTTTCCGAATGGTCTTCTCAACAATGTTGGTTTGTTGGAAATATACATAGATTAATGATCGATTCAAAAGGACAACCAATTAATATTTCAACAAATCAATTAGATTTTGATATAAATAATATTACTTGGATGATTAACAAAAATAATGATCAGATCAAATTGACTGTTATACGAGGACAAAAATTACTTACTTTTTTTAAATAATTATTTTTTTGTTTCTTTCATTGAAAATAAATAAAAGAATTTATTTCAAAAAAAAGAAAATTATCTTAACGATTTTCTATTCAAATATTGATAATTATTGAAAAAATGAAAATTATTTTTCTAATATATTTCTTTTCTTATAAGGAAATTTAAAATATTCGATAGTCACACACACCTACAACACATTTGTCATTGGTTATACAGAAAAAAATAATAGTTTATAATAAGATTTCAAATTGCACTCGTCTCTTGGAATGTTTATCGAGGAAAAAATTAGTCATGATATTTTCTATTTTGATTAACACCAAATAATTTTTCTCGAATTTCGGGAAGAATTTGATTAAATATCATTGAAAGTCGAGCTTCAATTGTATTTGAAACTTTGATTTTTCCACCCATTGCATAAATTTCAACACCACCAGCTCTAAAACAACAAAAGATATATTAAAAAGTAAAATAAAAAATAAAATGATAAATATTAACGAATCATCAGCTATGAAATTTTTATCATCAATAGTAATTTTAATATCTTTTTGTTTTAATTCTTGTTTATATCTATGAGATGCATCAGGAATAAGTTGTTGAACAAGATGATGATCGTTTCGACGACATCTAATAGTAACATCATTTTCCATAAGTAGAAAAAGACCTTGTGTAATAAGATTTGCAAGAATAGTTGTATATTTTGATCGATCTTGTGTTAAAATAAATAATTGTTTTCTCGCTTCTTCTTTTAAAGCTTGAACATAATCATCACGAGCTTTAAGAATAGAAAGACGACTTGCATTAGCTAAATTGGAATGTTGAATTTTTCGTTGTAATTCAATTTGTTTTTCTTTTTTATCATAATATTCAATTATTTTAACACGTTGTTGAGAAACTAAACGACTTTTCTCAATATTAAATTCTTCTTCAGCTTTTGCTTCGATTTCTTCAACTTTTTCAGCTGCTTCTTGTTGAATAAATGCAATCATATGTTGAATCTAAATTATAAATATTTAGATTATTCTTTTAGATATAAAATAACTAACCTGTTTGGCAACATCAGTTTCGCTTAAACCCATTTTTAAACAGTTTTTAATATAAGAATAACGATGTTTACTATGCTAGAAAAATATGTGTTTACGATGAACAGAATTTGAAAGAAGTAGGAGGCATCGAACTTGATTTCGATTGGAGTCTTTTTGTTCTATCATGCTACTTATATTTTGTAGATGTCACCACATTATTGAAGAAATAAGAACATTTATTATGTTGATGATTATTTGTGTCAGTTCTTTCTATTGAACGTGTAAAAATATTGAATAAAAATTCTCTTTCAATACTTTAAGCAAAGTATCGATATTAATTTTGATGCTCTTCTCTCTCATATTAGACAGACATTCTTGAGGAAAGTTCAAAAAGCGTATTGAGTTGCTATGCGCTTAACAGACGTCTTCTCTTAAAACTCAAAGACTTTTACCGCTTTAAAAATTGAAAAGCCTCTATTTACATTCATCTATTCAGTTTTTATAATGGAAAACCTAATTTTAAGCCACTCAATTAGAATAAAACTAGTATTTAAATAAAGGTAGACACATACAAGTATGTAGTCATATTTATATGTATTAGAAGAGCATAGTTTGTAATTTTGAGAAGGAACAGGCTAAGAACAAAACCCTTATATATGTCAGTTAATACTAGAGGCGTAACTGATGGAAAGATTCATGACTACGCCCAAATTTGTTGAATGGTTCTTTTCGTTAAATTTGTTTTCATTCGGATACTTTCGAATTGAACAA